CTCCCAACCCCCATCCTTCCCTGTTGAAACACTTGTTGAGACATTTTCCCTGTGCTTTTAGTTTGGGACCAATGGATTTCTCCTTGGAATTCTGAGTTCACTAGCTGGGAAGATACAGGAACCAGGTTGATGTCTTAAATATCAGTAGTAAGCCATCGGTTTCTTGTAAGCAATATTTAGGTTATCTTTTTATTATCCTTATTCTTCAGAGTTGACTGAGGTAGAAACTAGGGGAAAGGTACACAGATCCTATCCCTAGACCCTAGTTTTAGTCACCAAATATTTATTGAGTGTCTCTAATGTGCTGACATGTTCTACTAGAAGATGCTAAGGATACAAAATGGACCAAGCCCTGGCTTGTTGGATTTTTTTTTTTTTTTTTTGGAGGGGGGTGGAGGGGTGGGGGCGAGGCTTGTTTTTTTCACTGTGGAAAAATAACATAATATTTATGATGTTAGCCATTTTAAAGTATGGAATTCAGTGGCAATAGGTACATTCACATTGTTGTTCAACTTTGTAGAGTTTTATTCTCGGGGGTGTACCAGTGCTCCAGGGAGTTCATATTGTTAGTTTACCTCTGTGTTTTTTCGTTATCTGTGCCTTTTTCCTACTGGTTGCTGGCTGAACATAGGATATACTTTTATTTCAGGTTCAGTAATTCTACGGACTCATTTTAATTGGAGGGGAAGACTAGATAGATTTCCCCAAAATGTAATAATGGTTATTGTTGGGCAGCTGTAGGAGGGTTTTCTTAAAATAGTTTATTAAATTCATAGGTGTCTTTTCCTGTTGACCTTTATTAACTCTAATTCTGTACTGCTGAATATCCTGAAAACTGTGGTGTGGCCTTAACTTTAAAAAACACTTTTTAGCCAAGATATACCACTGCTGACATCAACTGTGAAGTTGTTAAAGATCAGCACAGTGCTTTGAGGACAGCTGCAGAGTTGGTGGGAGGATTTTGAATGCCCCTCTAGCTCAGGGAAATTTATTGAGAGGAAAAAAAAAAAAGACAGCATGGCCTCAAATTTTTTTTCCTAACAAGATCAGATAATACGGTTTTATAAACAATTTTTGTTGTTCAGTGTCTAACACTTCCCATAACTGTGATACTATAACAGTTATGGGAAGTGTTTGAATCTTCTTTGAATCTTGAAAACCCTTATGTAACATGTTGAATTTGTATAGGACATGATGCTTAATATTTTCTATTAGAGTAGCACGGATGTTTCTGATTGTTGAAACACATGTTTTTTGAACATACTGTTTACCAGTTTGTTTGGTGCTATTTCGCCCAGTTTAATTGGCACCAATCCCAAAAGGAAAATAACATCTTCCTTTGGCGAACTCCTGTATGATGTGTATTTCAGGAAAAAGTGGAGGCTGCCAGCGATATTACTTAGCACATGAGGTGCCTGTCACTTTTATAGGACTTACCACATTGGATTCAGTATATCTTTTCTTCTCTACTTTTTTTTAGTCTCCATCTGAGTTCCTTGGAAGTGGTATAATGATTTATTCATCCTAGCTCCTAACACGATGCCCGATACATAGCAGATATGCACACATGTTGTTTGAACTGAATTACGGAACCAAAGACATATTTTACTGGTGTAATTGCTGGCTTAACTTTATTAAAGAACCACTGCATACATTTTGCAGACATGACTGGTCCATGCTCTAATCTTATCCATTATTATCGCGTGGTGGAGGGAGAGGAGGTTTCTTCTTGTTTATAGAGTAAGATAGATACCCGCGGTCAAAGAAACAGGAATTAAGGTTACTTTCCAATGATACCACTGAATTGCACGTAGCGGTTCTTTTATTTTTTGAATGCCCTCATTGTTATTCGAGAACAGCCATACTTTTGACATTCTTTTCTGCAGGGACTTGTTCGTGTTTTCAGATTATGGAGAAAATGGTTTCCCCTGTTTCATGTAAAGTTAGGCGGTTTATATTTCAGGGTCTGTGGGTGGATGAATGTATGCTGTATGGTGCAAGGAAGACACGTGCCCGGGTGATGTTTAGTAACGGGAGTCTGGGCAAGGATGCGAGAGAATGTGGCATGGTTCAGGAGAGCAGGTCTCATCTGTAGCCAGGACAACGGCTCACTGCCATTTGGGATACAGCCTGCTCTGACTACTTAGCACTGATGCTTCCCCAAAAAGAGGAATCTGAGGGGTTCAGGGTGCTTACATCCAGTTTTAAGCTCCTTTCTTGGGCATAGTTTGTACCGAGCCAGTTTCAAAGCAGTTTCTCCCTTAATGTTCCATCTGTACATGATTGCCTTTGGCTTGGTAACCCATCCTTGGTTCAGTCACGTGGGCTGTTCTAATAGGGTGGGCTTTCTCCATAGACCTGGCAGGGCCGTAACAAATTTGAGCAGATAAACATGGGTTGGGCTTAGATTTCTGCAGAAGAGGGCATTGGAAATTTGGGAACAACTTACTCAGATAATTTTATAGTCCAATTTTTACCCCCAATGGAAACACTGAAAGTCTTATTACTAAAGTGAAAAGAATCCATCATGTACATAACTCTGTTTCATACTACCTTTTTCTACTTATTTTAGGTAAAATGTTTTGTGTATGAAAGAAATATTAGATGGAAACTTGCTGCTCGGTTGTAAGCTGTTGTAACACAAGAACCAGTGGCATGACGGGTTGCTTTAGATGCAGATGGTGATAGACAGACAGACAGAGAAACAGTCAGACCTATAGATACTGACATTTGTTTTTAAGTAGAGATTGATAAAGGAGAACATTTAACATTTTAAGGGTGAGAGATAGGGGGCTGAGTGACCAGCACTAGGAAAGAACTTCCCTAACTACTATGAAGAACTTGTTTGTACTTAAACTGCCTCAGCAACTCAAAGACTTGATTGTGTTCAGCTCATGTTTTTGAGATTACATGTGAGAATTGCTAGTAATTTTTAACATCATCAGATGTTGTCTCAAGGAATGTAGAGTAAAAAATCATGCAATATTATGTTCACTTATTCAGTGAACAGATGTTTGTTTTGACTGCCCACACTGCCAGTCTCGGTTTTAGGCAGAGGCATCCAGTGACAAATAGGACGGATAAAGTAATCTTGGTTGTAGGTTCTTGGTATTCAGCACTTTGAATATTTCTTGCCATTCCCTTCTGGCCTGCAAAGTTTCTGTTGAAAATCAGCTGACAGTCGTATGGGTATTCCCTTGTAGGTAATTGAGTCTCTTTCTCTTGCTGCTTTTAAGATTCTCTCTTTGTCTTTTGCTCTTGGCATTTTAATTATGATGTGTCTTGGTGTGGTCCTCTTTGGATTCCTTTTGTTTGGGGTTCTCTGCGCTTCTTGGACCTGTAAGTCCATTTCTTTCGCCAGGTGGGGGAAGTTTTCTGCCATTATTTCTTCAAATAGGTTTTCAAGTACTTTATCCAGCAAAGCTATCATTCAGAATTGAAGGTCAGATAAAGAGCTTCACAGATAAGGAAAAGCTAAAGGAGTTCATCACCACTAAACCAGTATTATACGAAATGCTGAAAGGTATCCTTTAAGAAGAGGAAGAAGAAAAAGGGAAAGATACAAATTGTGAACAACAAACATGCATCTATCAACAAGTGAATCTAAGAATCAAGTTAATAAATAATCTGATGTACAGAATGAACTGGTGATTATAATGAATCAGGGACATAGAAAGGGAATGGACTGCCTATTCTTGCGGGGGAAAGGGGAATGGGAGATGCGGGAAGAGACTGGACAAAAATCGTGCACCTATGGGTGAGGACAGTGGGTGGGGAGTGAGGGCGGAGGGTGGGGTGGGAACTGGGAGGAGAGGAGTTATGGGGGGGAAAAAAGAGGAACAAATGTAATCTGAACAATAAAGATTTAATAAAAAAATAAAAAAAAATAAGACGGATAAATCCCTGCTCACTTGAAGTTTATATCCAGGTGGGGAGATCCAGACTATAAGGAGAGCAGCAACAAAGGAAGATGGTTTGGGATCGTGATTAAAAAATAATAATAATAAACAGGATAAAATGAATAAATATATCTATATATGAATGTGGTAGAGAATGACCAGGGAGCAGAGGCAGGCAGGTCACTGCGGCAGGCACACAGCGGTGCGTCTGTACTGCAGTTACGTTATTACATCTAGGAAGTTAGGAAACAGAATCAGTATTTAAGGTAGAAGATTTTTTATTTTGAAATAGTAGGAGAGGCTCCAGAAGAGAAAGCAGGAAATGTAGATTCTGGCAACTTCATTGACTTCTCTGGGTCTTTTCTTTCTTTCTTTCTTTCTTTCTTTCTTTCTTTCTTTCTTTCTTTCTTTTCCAATGGTCTAGTTGAAAAACCAACATCTCCCTCCCTTCCTTCCTTCCTCCCTCCCTCCCTCCCTCCCT